CATTGGTTGCAATTATTATGCACTTTATAAATGAAATACATAATTATTAAGGCAAAAAAAATGCTCAGAATTCACTAATCTAAAGTCTATGCCCTTTGCTATAGCTGCACTATCCAGAGTTTAGAGCTATCGTGCACATAGAACAGCTGTACCAAGGCTTGCTTGCCCCCTAGAACAGGAACTAACTATAACAGCTAACCCTTTGATTCTGTGAGTACCTGTCAAATCTTAGCACATTTCTGCCTTCAGAGTCATATCTGTCATGATACTTTCCCCACTGTGCGAGAAAATCAACAGTTACATGGGAAAATGAAGTTCTATGAAGAGAGTGGGATTTCCCCCCTTGCTCAAAATGGAAAAAGAGAAGCCACCTCGGCTAGCACATCTATGGCTCCTTGGCCACAAATCAATGGTTCACTGCCCAGTCTAGGGTTCCTCCCCCTTTCAATAGCACTAGGACAGGCTTAGCAAAGGGAAACAAAGCTGATGCAGAGATGAGCATTTCTCATTATGATGATAGCCTTGCTACCTGCAGGCCAGACCAGGGGGAGTGGTGTGTGAGAGTTACAGTCAGCCTTCTGGCTCCCTGGGTGACACACATGCTGCTCACCCCTTTATGGAGAAAGTGCAACTTATAAAAGAACTAGGTCAATGGGACAGAGGCTGAGCACCTGCCTGCACTTTGAGCTGGCAGGGACAATCACCACATTCTGTGCTGCAGAATCGCAGGGAGGGCTGTTTATAAACCAGCCAAAGGAGGAAGCTTCTTTCAAAGGAAAAATCACTGGAGGAATTCCAGTTGCCTGGCACACAATCTGTTCCCTGTCTTCATCTTCCTGGGGACCTTGTGGTAAGTGATGCAGAAAAGACCACTACAGAGAGAAAACACTAGAGGGGGAGAAGGAGAGAGAGAGGAGAGAGAGAGAGAGAGAGAGAGAGAGAGAGAGAGGAGAGAGGGAGAGAGAGGGATCATGGGTGGTAAGATAGCATACCCAATGTATCAGCAGCGTCACTCATGGGTTCATGGGTGCATTTCTTCTTACACTGCTGAACACCTACAAGTTATGTGAAAGTTATGCAATGACTATCCTGGAGGTCTGTTTCATTTGCAATCCCTGCCTATTTACAGGTATTTCAGTGCTTAATAAATCACACCAGCACAGCAATGGAAAGGCCTGTGCTGGATTTTCTGAGAAGCTCTAAGTCAAACATTTACTGCAGATTCAGAAGGGTGGGACAGATCCCAATCACAGTTGCAATGCACAGTTGTCAAACACCTTGTTGATTTTGCACAACTCCCCCACAGGACAAAGATGTGCCACACTGCCGTGTAGCTCTTCAGCACACAGAAGAGTCCAGTGAGACCACTGGAGCAATTAGTTTTCATATTAGCACTGACTATAAATCATTCTATGGCTGAATACTGTTTTACAATTTTCCTGCGACTTTGCTTTACAAAGCTTAGGATGCAACTGCACTATTGATAAAAATGACCACAGTTTTAAAAATTTACACATGCAGACAGACACGCACACACACATGCAAGTATTTCATTTAAATCAAACATCACTGATTTTACTCCTGAAGCCTGGTAAGTGAAAAGGAGAAAGACAGAGAGACAAAGAGTGAAGAGAGAACCCAAGTGGCTCCTGCCACTCTGTTTAAATGGGTTTTTCTTTTCCTCAAAGGTTAGGAAGATTATTTTGGTATGCTTCTGCAAGACCCTAAAGATCATCACCACCGCTTTTCATAACTGTGCATAGAAGTTCAACCTCGGTTCCAAGGTAAATGTGAGGCTGAGCTGGTAATACGGGCCTAACATGGATAAGGTTGCAGATTTTAAGGAACAAAACGCGTGCCGCGTGCCTTTAAGTTCCTCCCCATGAGTCACATTGTAGGCAGACTGGTCTTACCTAACTCAGGCTGCTTTGGACAGTTTAATCCCAACCTACTGTATTGAGCATTCCTCATTCTTACATTCCACTGACCCTAATCTTTTAAATCTCTCCCTCCGCTCCCCTTTTCTACATTCCTTGGATGAATCAAGCTTTGGTAATTCAGGATTAATTAGCATATTTACCTTGGGTCACTCTGGGATACACAAAGCCATTCTAGTGCTCAGTGTCTTTGTCTTCCCCAAGGATGGAAATAGGTGACATAGAAACCCAGATACTGGAAAACTGTCATGTCCTAGATGCTAAATTTAAAGTGCAAAATTTAGCAAATAAAAACATAGAGTGTGTCATAAATTCTAACATCAAGAAAACAATATCTTTGTGCATGTCTCATACAATATTTGAATATATTTATACCAAAATTTATTTGTTGTGTATCTGAAATTCAAATTTAATTGGATATTCTGTATGTTAGGTGGCAAACTTAGCTGTATGGGAGCATGGTAAAGAGAAATCCAAAGCTTAATCAATAATAACCCAAGAAGAGGCCCGGGGATTTAGCTCAGTGGCACCGCACCTGCCTGGGAAGCGCAAGGTCCTGAGTTCAATCCCCAGTACCAAAAATAAAAAAAAATAACCCAGAAGGGGCTCACAGTGCAGGTTTATGGAATAATAGAAGATCCAAGAGTTGCCTTGGAGCTAAGAGGAAGGAAGCCTGTAACAAAGTGAAAAAATCAAGTCACATGCTCACCCTTCCATTGCCCAATGCCCAAGGCCAACATTTTTTTTTCCCCCTTAAATTATTTTATTGGTACATGTTAGGTATACAATACGTTTACATTTATCACTGGGTGCTTGAACCTGTACATGATGTATCTCGATTCTTATTTTTTCCCCATTCCCTGTGTGCCCTTCACCCCCTCCACCCTTCCCTATTTACATAGACTTTGTTTCCATTTTTTTTCTTTTCTCATTTTCCCTTTCCCTTCTTTCCTTTCCCCTTCCTCTCCCGCCACCCCTACCCCTTTGGACCTTTTCTTCATATTTCAAATTATCAATTATTCATTTTAATCCTTTTAATCCTTAATTACACTTTCAGTTTCTCACACTAGAGAAACTATTCGGTATTTATACATGTGTGTTCTGTTTATTTCACTTAAGAGTATCACCTCAATTTGCATCCGTTTAGCTATAAATGTCTCTAGTTTCTCATTCTTTATGGCTGAGTCATCCTGCATTTTATAAAAAACCACATCTTCTTTATCCAGTTTCCAGGTGATGGGCACTTGGGCTGTACACACTCTGGCTTCAACACAGCCATGAGCCTCCACTGCAAATCAAGCAGACTTGCCTTGTAAGAGGAAACCTCTTAACTGTCCCTTGCGTAGACAGGGCTATGAGTGTGGAGCTATGTAGAATTACCCAGGATACATTCCCAGGCAGATCTCAATTGGTTTACTCACACTGTGCACAAAACAAAATTTTAAAAACTCAAAAAACTTAAAAATCATGGAATTCCAATGTTTTCATCAGGTAACTAAGTTGGGGGCTTGATCATTAATGATTCTCTAATAATGGCCTTAAAATATGGCTCATACTGTGCATTCAGCCCTCCAAGAATGTACATTCTCTCCTTGACTCTTCCAGTTAAATGATGCATAAATCACATGTCATCATTTTTATATACATTGAAAGGTTCCATATTGGAGAAGTGAAATTAAAAATTACTAAAATATATGCACAAAATTAAATTCTTGCTTTGGTAGAAACTACTGATGACTTGAATTTGAAGTCCTACACTCCCACATAATGCTGCCAAAGTTGCACAATTCTAATTGAGCACAATTTGTGGAATTCCTGCCACTTTCGGGAAGCATACTTGATGACCGGTGTGGTCTTAATGCGGTCCTGGTTTCAAAAGCTTTTTGTTTATGAATTACTTTTGGCTTAGCTTCTTCATTTACGCTGGACTTTGTTGTGGATTATTTGGTTAACCCCAGAGTGTGTAGTGATCTATGTTTCCATCAACAGCATTTCAAGACCGCAATTTTGCAATCACTAGACTTTAAGGCATGTATATGTTGCGATTGAAATACAAGTCATCTAGTCCAGTTTGCGAAGGCAAACCACAAAAATGTGTTTGTAGGGTGACACATTCAATCATAATACTCTATTCCCTTTCCTCTGTAGAATGGGAATGGATAAGGTAGGTGGGCTATGGAGTCTTTTATCCTGCCAGTCAGCACGACTGTCAAAACTAGTTTGAGAAATACTTTTCCAGAGCAATGGTTTTCACCCCTGATCAGGTGATACTAAATGTTAATACATTTAATGAATTTAATGATAGTACATGACCAAATGTTTTCACCTATCAAGCAATATTCCATATCAAGAAATACTAAATTATGATACATCAAGTTTCAACTGAAAACTATGTCCCTAATGTTCTTTTTCATTATTAAGCTAAACATGATTGACTCTTTCCAATTCTTTTTCCATGAATATTTGTCTCCTCTTCTTTTTCTTTATTATACTTATCAGTAGTTAGTTGCTAGCAATCAAGTAGTGACAAAAGCCAGATCTTTTAGAAAGTCTGTAGGAAAAAAAATCTCTTTAGATTAACAAATTGTTTTCCATTTAACTTCTTTTTCCAACAAACTGGAAAAATTTGTCTAGTCTTCCATTTATAGCTATGTCACTTTGGGGTTTTTTAAGAGCAAAAACCACATGTTACAAACTATTAGAGAATTGTGAAATTGATGCAATTAGTACTTACTGGTATTTTTAAATTTTTTTGTGAAAACTTTGCTTTAGTTGTGTGTGTGTGTGCGTGTGTGTGTGTGTGTGTGTGTGTGCATGTGTGTGTGTTGCTTCTAGGCCACAAGTAAAATGTCTTTTTTGTCCAATAGGAGAGTCTTGGTTAAAAAGTTGGGAAACCATCACTCTAGGAGAGTGTTTCTCAAACTTTAAAATGCCTTTTTTAAAAACCTATGCATCTTATTATAATGTAGTTTTGACTCATCAGGAATGAGGTGGAGTCTCACATTACACACTTCAGTAAAACTCTTAGAGGATTATGATGCTGCCATTGTATGAAACCACACTGTGCGTAGCAGGGACCTCCACAGAGGAGACCAACCCTCTAGAGGAAAGGTGAATGAAACTCTAAATTGTCTGCTCAGGACATCCAGCCACAAGAGGAGCCTACAACCACAGCATCTGACTCAGGTGATTCTTTTATCAAACAACTGAGCCTGCTTGCCTAGTGTCTGTGCCTGCTTACCTCTTCTGTCTTGCTTTCTCTCCTAGATGAGTCATTCAAAAACAGGAAAATATTGTGGGCCTCATATCACAGACATTAAAGAGCTCAAAACTTTTGTAACCAACCCAGAAATCCATATTTGATAAGAACTCTGGACTAAAATTACCTAATATCTATTTTCCACCCAGCCATTGACGTGATCTACTCAGAACACAGATTTGTGTCTTGGTCCTGCTTAAAACTCTTCAGTGCTTCCTCAGTAACTTCAGATGAATTTCCATCTCTAGTTTATAGACTGAGGACATGCTCTGCTTCCCTCTAGCCTTCCTCCACTCCAGATCTCAGAACCCAGCATACCTTTTCAAATCATGCATTGTTCTTACCTGTTGAAGTGTAAATTCTTATCTGGATAAGGTCCGTTTACCCTCCAATATGCCCCTCCAGGAGCTTTCCTAACTACTCCTTTTCTGGTCCTAGTTTGGGTTGCTGAAACAAAGTAGCATAGATGAGGTGGCTCATAAACAACAGAAATTCATTTTTCACAGTTCTAAAAGCCTGAGAAGCCCAACAGGGAGGTGCCAGCATAGTCAAATTCTGGTGAGGGCATTCTTTCAGGCTGCAGACAGTGGACTTCTTGTATCCTTGCTGGTTAGAGTCTCTTTTATAAGGGGATTAATTCTCTTCATGAAGATTCCACCCTCATCAGTTAATCACTTCTCAAACACTGGACCTCTTGATAACATCACATTGTGGGTTAGGATTTCAACATATAAATTTGGAAGGGACATAAACATTTAACCCATAACAATTTTCCTACATGCACATACACACACACCGGTGACCTGCTAGTAATGCTGCCTGGCATGGCTTTTTTAAAAAATAATGATTAAAGTTATTAATGCCTGGGGCTCCAGACTATGAGATTTTTTTTTTGGACTTCAGGGATCTGAAGAGAGAGACGGGGAGGGGGGCAGATCCCGAGATGGCTCTATTTCTACATAAAACAGAATTTCCAGTTTCCACATTAATTATTTACCATCACCACTGAGGCTGCCTACGGTTCTGGTCCTTTAAACATACTTGACTCTGTAGAATTTTCAATTGACATCAGGATTTTGATCAATTATATTTCCATTTTAGTTTTTCCACCTAAGGTTGTACTGTCCTTCAATGAATTTTCCAGCTAAACATCAATGCCCTTTCCAGTGAATGGTTGATTTGTTTTTCAATAGAACAGTTACTTGCTCTACCACCGCCATCTACTTTCTGAGCATAATGTTTTTGGTATTTCCTCAGCCATTCGCCAACACCTGGCTATATGTGGGCAAAGCACCATCAGAAAGCAATGTGATTATTGTCCACATCATTTAGAAATAGCTAAGGAATAATTATAGGTGCCATGTGGTAGATCAGACATTCAAAGCATATTTTCCCCTTTGATAGTATTGACTATGCAAACAACTGCATTTCTATATACTCTTTATCTGTTACTGTAAAGCAAAGATACACTCTATATAAAATGCCTTTCCAGATTAATGAAGCTTCCCCTCTTCCATGTATTTCATTAGGTAAATGCTCAATGCTTCTTTAGGGTAAGACATTTCAATATTAATAATTTTAGATGAAATATTTCCAAGACATAATATGTCTATATAGATAGATACACATATATACATTCATGTATAGCTTTGTTTTATTAAACAAGAAATTCTAAACTTAATTTACTTTTTTGTAGATTATGTTACCATTATGATTTGATATTCACAGTTAAATTTTGGAGGTGTTTTTGATTGCTTTTGTTCTTGTTCTTGGCTACCTTTTGGACAATAGCTTATCCTTTTTCTTCAGATTTCTCTCTCCTTGTCAGCTCCTCTTTTCAACACATTTTAGTCTAGAGAAGAATGAAGAAATCATCAGAACTGAGGAGAAATGAATGCAACCCATCAATAAGTTGCATACCAGAAAGCCTGGGTTCTAATCCCGATCTATTGTTAGCTGTATGAGCTTGTACAATTCTTCCCCCATCACCTCGGTGCCTCAACTGAACAGTATGTGAATGACATGACTTTGAAGGTCCTTCTCGAACTAGAAGTCCCTTGTCCATGTGGGCTCTACACATTCATAACTCTGCCTGTAAAATACTGCCCTCAGGATACCCAATACTTTGCCCACCTTTACTGCTTAGCTGATCCCAAGGGAGACATCCACCTCTTCCCATGTCTTTCTCAAAGCTCTAAATCTGGACAGCACACCTGTCCCAGGGATTCCTGTAATAATCTTCATCATGTGTTGTACATAACTGCCCTTCTCCCTTGCAGCTGAAGAGAAAGGGCTTGCCTTCACTGTCCCACAGTTTAGCACCAGTACTGGCACATAACACAGGATGGGGTGCTGGGAGAAAGACTTAATGAAAGAGTAAGAATCTTCCTTCATTTGGGGCACCAGTATGTTTGACTGCCTGCCATGAAGCATGATGCAGGAATTTGAAACAATCATTCTCTTTTTTGCTTTGTTCTGTTGGGACTAAAGTTGATAGCAAACTTTTCTGGAAATCTTCTTTCCTGAATAAGTTTCTCTAGGTGAATTATTTTTCTACCTATGGAGAAATTTCTTCTTTGTGTCACAATTCTTCCAAAAATACATGGTAAAGTCTAGTATGTTCCTATTCTTGTATTTCCATCCTTAGACTTATTGAGGTAAGGTGTTCTGGTTCACGGATGTGAACAAAGGTGACTTCACCGTGAACAGAGTCTCTCTGAAACCTGAAACATCTCCTAGACTCTACCTTGACCCATCCCACCATCCTTCTTCCAGGCATGAAACCAAAACAACAACACCAAAATGGTCCCTTTGGTTGGAATTCTGTCAACAACTGCAGAACACTAGGTTAATCATTGTGGCATTTTATGAAAATGAATTTAAATAGACACCTTCTACAGACGTCAGGAAATTATTGCAGATTCACTAACAACGAGATGAGGTGCATCCAGAAAAGTTTCATAGAATAACAGCCAAAGTAACTCCTAAAGTTAATTCTTATGTTTTCTTTGTTGGCAGAGGTAATTTATGGAATTCGATACTCATGGTGCTATTTTTATGTGATTTCACTTAGGTGATAAGAATATTTTAATCAATGCCCTTATTATGTTATTAGTATACAGTGGATTTTGACTTTGCCAAATTCTCAGTAATTATAGAATAAGATTTGTCCTAAATGCCAAATATGACTTAGGAAAGATTTCTCAGAGATTCACTAAAATCCTTTTGGGATACCAATGAGTTCTTGATTTCAAAACAAATCAAAAACAAAGAAAAGAAAAAAAATTTTTTTAAAGCTTTTCAATTGTATATTTAAGACCTATTAAAAATAACAAATATTAGAAAAACATAGTTTTGTAATAATTTGCCTTGCAAAATAAAACTTCAAGAATTGATTTGGCTATCAGTAGATTTTGTTGTTATTGTTTGGTAAATGGTATTTTCATATAATGTATATAGAGCTATGGACAAGCAGGTCCTCTGTTAAAATTGGGCAATTGTTCCCATGTTCCTGAAGTTTCATTATCTATATAGAATGCTAATTAATGTAGCCCAGAATTGTTATTAATTCTTGATTTACATTCCTCCCTGGGGAGCAATTTACTCTGATAGTCAATTTCATATTGGTCTCTGTGTCATATGGGAGAAATTCAAGAGGAATTTGGGACTTCAGCCAAATCTACTACATACTTGATTTCAGATATTTCAAGCAAGATGAAATAGGAAATCCCGAGAAGGGTATCCTCTGAGCAGTACCGCCACCAGGTGAGGAAAGCCATACAGCACTGTCCTGTTTCAGGACTCTTCCCTGGCTATGAGAAAGGTGGCATGCTGAGTTCTTACAGAAAATTCCTTTACTTGGCAACTCCAGAGAATTTTGAATATCATTTCCATGGCTCAGCCAGGATGTTAGATTTTACAAAGAGTACAACTAAGATGACTCTCTAGCAAGGAAACAAAGTTGGTGTTCTTCACTTTGTTCCAAGAACTGGTGCTGGTCTTCAAATTGTTTGTTGCCTATCCATCAAGTATGTTAATATAAAGGAAGTAGTTAGAAATTTCAAGAATTTGGCTTGCTTCATCATCCATGTGCATGATCAGTAGACTGCTGTTTTCAGGACATTCCTTTCCTTTATGTTTCTTAGCAGTTTATTCTTCTTGTCTCACAAATATATCAGTCTTTGCCAGATTGGAAATAAAGAATAAAATTGGTCTTTCACCTTTATAGTTTGAGAATCCTGATGCAGGTGTTTCTTTGGACTATTCCAGCTGCAGCCATGGAGGGTACCCTTGGTGATGGGTGTAGCTGTGGAAAAGAGGTACAGTACTCATGTACAAAATAAATAGCTGCCTAAAGAGCCCTGACCACTGGTAGTGGTCTTCCCAGAAAAGTTATTCATGAGCTGCAGGGAGGGGAGATAGCACCATTTTTGCTCAGTAAACATCGGGAAGTATGTTGGAAATTTTAAAAAATTATACCTTAATAAAAAACAAAAAATAATAATTTTTCCATAGGAAATGGTACTCAACTCCACTCCAAATTACATCAAGGCAAAGACAGTTTGAAGAAAAAAAAACTGTAAACTGGTATCTAACCCGCAGTTTCAGGTGGGAGAGGTTATCATATTTGTTCAAAGTCCTATTTTCTTGGTGACATGAGAGAAACCCAACAATATAGAATGTATAGGAGATAAAGGTATTCAAACCTAGCAACATAGGCCAGCCATGTGAGGAAGGCAGCCATGTCAGGATGGTGGCCATGTCAGGATGATGGCCATGTCAGGCTGGCGGCCATATCAGGATGGTCTGTGTCTAACAAAGTCAAGGTTGTCTGCTCACAGACAACCAAGCACTTTTCAATATTATCTCATCAGTGAAAGCTATAAGACATTGTCAGAAAAAAGCTAAGAAAGATTTCCATTTTGTC